CGCCCCCCCCCGCCGCCTCCGCGACCGCCGCGGTGGCTGCTGCTACCGCCATGGCGTGCTTGGTGTTTTGTGGACACGTGGCGGCAGTGGCGTTGTCCTTTTCTGTGTATGACTTAACGAAGGTCCATCGGCGCTTCTCTTTGGGAGGCTTGGCGGGGGAGTTACTGTACTCTGTTTTTCTCAGACCAAGAAACCCGCGAAACCACTTTGATGCTTTTCCCATTTCTTCTCTCGCAAGCGAATAGCTTTGGGTTTTGCGATGTGTAAATACTATATAGCAACGGTAATGAGAGAAAGTTGAGCGAGAAAAATGAAGTAGGAGCAAACTCTGCTCCTTTGTCACGTAACGTAACGTCAATCCAAACCAACTTTTACCCTCTATTTTTAATTTTAATTTTAATTTTTTTTTAGAGCATCTCTAATATAATTGCTTATAAAACAATTTCTTGTGTTACATTATTGCCACATCTAGCCCATTTTATAATTGTTTAAATTTTAACAAAATTATTTTTACAAATAATTTTACTAAAATTTAAACAATTTATAAAATAAATCAGAACTGATATAACAATAATATAACACAGAGAATTATTTATAAGCAACTCCGTTACACGTCCACATAACATAATTTGTTATATTTTATGAATGGGATGAAATGGTAGATTGGTAATTTGATTTGATGAGGGAAAGTGGAATAGACGTGCATTGACTGGTCATGCATAGACATAGTGACATACTCATAGTTATAGGCTATAACCGGTAAACTGCTTACTATACACAAAGTGAAGAAGCAGAAACCAAATCCTGTGACAAGGAAAGCTCGCGATCCGAGCAACATGGATGGATGGAACCATGCTCAATATTCACATTAGGGGACCACTCAACAGTCAACACAACTACAAATTCCCACGCTTACTCTTTTCTCTTTCACACTCCTAAATTCATCTTAAATACTAACATTATTATTAGTCATCCAAATCTTTCCACCCTTTTTCAAATATACCTTCTCTTTCATTCTTTCCTTTTTTCGTTTGGATTACAATTTTATTTAACTAAAATCATGTTCAACCTAATCTATTTCTCACATGATTTTTTTTTTATGTATTAAAAGATATAAAAATTAGAAACACTATTTAAATGGATTTCTAAACACTATTTTTTTTTCTCTCCAAATTTGAAAGATTACAATTTGTCATAAGTCTTGCGGTATTTTTCCATCCTTTTACTTTTTAAAATGGATTTTTCGTTCCATGCAGAGACGCATTCAAGGGAGCAGCCAGCCAGCCACCCCCTCCTCCCGGGATTTTTTTAATAAAATAAAATATTTATTATACAATATTCTAATTTCGTTTTTTTTTAAAATTTTATAAGAGTCTATTCTTTTATATAAAACTCAATTCATATTATTTTAATAATTAATTATTTTTAATTAAAATACTCATAATTACAATGTGTTTTCTTAAGTTGATAAAATATATTGATTACAATTTTTTTTAAGAATATATACTCTAATTGGTTAGGAGAAACATAAGTATTAATTAGGAAGTAAACATCCAATTTGGTTCTTGAAAGATGGTAAAGGTGGTCAACAAATTCTTTATGTAAGTTATAGTTTTCTACAACTATGAATTATAGAGAACTAAAAAATATTTTTAAAATCCATGATTCTCATGTAATAAAGGGAAAATGTGTATATCTTTCTCTATATTTTTGGGTTTAGGGTTTTGTAAAACTACACTTGTCAAGAATATGAGGCATTGAGAGCACATGTCAAACTATCGTTCATCCACTAAATCAGTAAGGTGCTTAAAATCACGTAATATAGCATTTGATTGCTCGTTTATTAGGACGTGAAGCATTACGTCCCCACCATTATGTGCCACCAAAGACAATATGTCATTTCATTCATCGCCATATAATAGTGCCTCGGATTGCCACGTAGAGACGAAGACAATTCTCATTCTGCCACCTGCACCATATGCTGAGATTTGTCATGGCTTATTTGTACCCCTTCTCCCATACTGAAGCAACAAATACTTTTGAAGAGCTATAACTCCAACAAGTACAAATAGATCCAGCTAGTTATTGAACACTTCAAACTTTGCCCAAGCACAAGCAAGGTCTAGGATTGTTGCACCACTACAAGAAAAAGTAATTAAAGTCTTTTTTAAGTGTTGAGAGCCACTTCCAGCAAGAAAACATGATATTTGTTATGATATTTTCATGGCTAAATTGGTGCCCTTCAAAGATACACAATCCAGGTAGTAGCCATCCATACTACATGCCAGGATATCGCATCAGATTTACACATGATTGGGCCTGAAATGAAGTTGTAATGTTGTCTTACTTGCTGTGGTAGCGGAGCAAGGCACCTGATCCAAGACAAACACTATTTCCATATCTTCTCCACCTTAGGGCATATGCAAAAATTATGGTTAGAGGTTTCAGTTACACCTTTACAAAATTGACACAAGGACTATTGTTCACCAAGTGTTATCTTTCTTCTTGCCAAATTATCCACCAATGGAAGACCCCTGTTTACCATTCTCCACACACACATTTGGACCTTTTGGAGGTACTGGGGTTAACCAAATATTGTTGGAGACTTCATCATCCTCGACACTAGCATATTCAACAAGTAAAGCTTTATATGCCGTCCTTACAAAGAACTCTCTCGAAGAATCACCTCACCATCTCCATGAATCTTGTTCCACTCTATGGAAATTGATACCCCTTATTATTTGATATAATTGTTCCTCCTGTGAAGCTTCCCACATGAATTTATTCCTTCTCCACCTGAGTTTCCATTCCCATCCTTGATCTGTCCATGACCCCAACTCTACAATTGAAGAATGTTGATGGGTAGAATTAATAAAAAGTCTCGGATAGGCTACTGTAAGACACGTTGGACCAACCCATTTGTCAAGCCAAAATCTCACTCTAGACCCCTCCCCTACTCGCCATTCTATCATCTTATCAAACCCGATGCCTTCCTCCTCTCCCCCACACACGATAAGTAAATCTCTCCACCATATAGAATCTTCGTTGGAAGGGTTTTGAGCACAAAGATTACTTCCACCGCCATATCTAGACAATAAAACTTGGCTCCAAATAGATGAAGGAAGATGAAATAGGTTTCATCTCCATTTTGCCAACATCGCTGTATTGAATAGGGTGACATTTTTCAAACCCAACCCTCCCTGTGCTTTGGGCACAGTCACCTTGTCCCAAACCCTAAACCCTAAACTTTAGTTAAAATGAAAAGTTGTTAGATTTTGTAGGATTTTAAGTAGTTGAATTTTTCCATCTCAATTGTCCTTGATTTCTTCATCTATTATGACTACAGGTTTAGGATCATAAGCCCCGAATTATTGAATTCGGGATTTAGCAAAATGAGTGATTGTTCTTAAAAATTTAAAGCAAGGATACATTAATTGAATATGAATGCTTCTTTTATGTTTAATGAATTGTAAAAAACCTCTATGTTACTATGGAATATGTGAATGAGAGCGAGTGCAAGAAGAAATAATTCATTCAAACTTCAATTTAGTTTTTTTAAAAAAAATTAAATTAAAATTAAATCTTACTTTGTCATTGTCTAAACTTACTAAGTTTGTAATTATTGCATGTCAACTAGGAGAGAGAATGCATGACAATTAATTGTTGACTGATTCTGAGACTAACAAAGTTAGTAACCACATATAACGAAAGGATCCAAATGCCACAAAAATATTTTAGAGACCTATCGTCCCCCTTACCATTTTTTAAGGACCAAATTGAATGTTTACTCATTAATTATGAGACATAAACAATATAAGACATACACTTTAATTGGTTAGAAGATATATGAGTATTAATTATGAAAAATAAGTAATACAAGAGTAGTTTTAGAAGAAAATAATATATAAATAGGACAAATTTATTGTTATTAACTAAATAAACTATTTTTATTATTCTTAGTGAATTAGCTAATTAGATTTTATATATTGGAATAAATGTAATATATAATTAATTTAAAATTTAGTTAAATATGATTTTTAATTTTTTAAAAAAATTTGTAGATTTGATATATACATTGAGAATTTTTAATTCAACCAATATAAATCTCTAAGTTTATTCTTAGCTTCATTTGGCCTCTCATTTGTTACATTACTACTTCTTTACTTTGTGAAAAGTGAGAATTTTTAGTAACATTATTTAACCTCCCTTTTAATATTTCTCCACAATTATTTACTAATATGTGGACACATGTACTTATATATATATATATATATATGAGTTATGACTGTTGACATCACGTGTAAGTTTAAAAACTTACATCAAATTTTTAACTTTTAATAATTTTTAGTGCAATGTAAATTTAATTGATCTAATATTTGAATCATGTGATATTATGCTCAAGAACATGCATATCAAATTTTACATAATTTAAAGTTTTTTAGATATATTATCCAAAAATAAATTTACACATATTTTAAATGTCTTGTTATACATTAAAAAAAAACAATGTGATGAACTATTAAATAAATTTGAAACCAAATAAAATTTGATATACATGATCTTAAGAATAAAATTATATAATTCAATGACTTAGATATATTATATTTGCATCATATAAAAAGATTATTGAAATATAGGATTTGATGTAAGGTTTTAAACTTATACTTAACTTTTCACAATATATATATATATATATATGCTTTAGGAGCTTCTTCCCTTCATAATAGAGGTCCATTTCTTTATCTTTTAGGTCCGGACAAAATTGGATGTCTACAGTTGTCGCAACTTAAAAAATTATGATCTTACGACCTATGGATTAGACATCCGTTTGAAAATCTCATCAATTAAGGAATGCCCAGAAACTAGACTAATCCCTAATTAATGGTTTTTAAAAATGAGTTCATGGAGTCGCCACCAATGTTTTACTCAAAACATTGGAAAAAGAAAAGGTTTTTAAAAATCCAATAATGGCCTTGATAACCAAAATTGAGTTCGGGAGTTGGTTACGTGTAAGGAAGGTATTAAGCACCCCTACAATGCCTTTAATCGGTACCCTATGATGAAGCTAGCATAAGAGATAATAATTTAAATATTAAGTCCCCTTCATTGATGATTATTTATATACATGAAATTTAAATTACACAAATTAACCTAGGATGTCTACATGGTTATTTCTTTTATTATAACAATATTTATAATAAAAGAGGTGGAAGATGGAGAAATAAATTGGTGGATAATACCTCGTGGCAAGCTTTATTAATGTTCTTCAAATGTGGGATTTTTAGGTGCTTTGTGGCAACCTTTCACACTACACAAATACCTCACAGATCTTAAGAAATACAAAAAGAGAGAGAGAGAGATATATATATATATATATTTCGAGCAGTGACACTGCATCCATTATGAATTATGTCGTATTTTAATATTCCAAATATACCATTTTTTTTCTAGTTTTTTTTTCTTTCAAAAAACTATAAAAAAAATCAAGAAATCTTGGATTCCAATCTAAACACGCACTTCCACTATTAGGACAACGGTTAAACCTGATACGGCTACAAGTTGGTAAAAGTAACTATCCAACATATCTTTTAAAAAAATATTTAAATATATTTTTAGTGTTTTACGATAAATTTATTTGATCACATGAATTTAAATTTCTTTTTTAATCCATATAATTTTTAAAAATTTTACTTAACTCTCTAAAATTATTAATAGTATATTTAAATTAAAATATTTATATAATATCAATTAGGATCAATGTGATATTTTCACTAAAAAATATATTTTATATGATGATATTTAACATATTTTTTAATAAAATTTAAATATAAAAATTAAAATAATATTTTTAAAAAATATTAAAATTAGAAAATTTAATTTAAAAATTAAAAATTAAAAATAAATTTATTTTAAATTTAGAAAAATGTAAAATATTTAAATCTTAAGAAGAAAATAAAACAAAAGTTATTGAATTTTTTTTTAATCATTTATATTTTTTAATGAAAGATTAAAATTTAACTTTTACCTTAAACATAATATTAAAAGATAATATATATTTTAATTAAAGATAGAGTTATATTTCTTAATTATAAAAAAATAAAACGAACTTTTTACAAATGAAAAGAAAAACAAAAAGGTTATAGATAGCTAGAAAAGAAAAGGTAATAGGGAAGAGAAAAGGGGGAATAAGGTTAATGATTCGTATCTAGGCTTTAAACCGACGAATGGTTATAGGTGTAGGAGCTAGTAAGATAGAGAGTGGTTTCTGGTAGATCACGTGACTCAAGGTTGATGGGTGATGCGGACAATTGACAGAACGAAGGTCGGTGTATCACTTGATAGTTGATACCAAGGGTGAAAGAAGCACGCAACATTCATCCTTTTACCTCTTCTCATCAAATCTCCCAAACCCCTCTCCTTCTCCAACTCCAACTTCTGCAATAACATACAAAAAGCAAAATTCAGGGGTGGGCCCATCCCCCTCCACGAATAATCAATTGTGAAAGCGTAATCCCTGTGGTCTAATATACGCTTCTCCACTCCTAAGTCCTAACCAAGCAAAATCAATGCTTAACTTACACATATATTCCAATCGATCCTACTGTTACTTTTAATTTAATTACAATTGTATAACAAAATTGAATACAAATATTTTTTATGTAATATTTTTAACATTTTATTTTTAAAGAAATCTTTGTTGATAATTTTTAGTTAAATGACTTGTCTATGGTAATATCACTAATAAGGTCAGATGTTTGAATCCTGTTTTATATATATAGTTGCGTTTAAATCTTGAAATCAGCTATTTTACTTTTTGAAGTGCTTCCAACGTATCGAGGATATTAGTCGTTACTATCGGCAGTGAATCTTCCGTACACGAAAAAAAAAAAAAAATCACTATCCAGGTAAACTCACTTCAGTGTACCCACGCCTGATTTTGTCATTTACTTGTAACGTGCTCCGCATGGAGTTATCCTCTTTCTAATCACATCACGGTGGTTTTCACCGACAACCATTACATCACATTTGGAGGCATGTCGTGTTATTTAAATTCCATTTATAACAAGGCGAAATGCACATTCTTTGGTTTCACATCCAAGTTCCTGCTTTTCACTTTTTTTTTTTTTTTTGAAATACTTTTCACTTGTTTATTACAGTCCAAAAGTGTAAATAGGACAGAAACGTCGTTGACCGTTGTTGTCCGAGACTTCTCAATTGTGCATGCGAAAGCCTAACGTGTAGCACGGAGAAAGCGCTTTTTACGGGTGTTTGTACTTGCATACGACAAGCTCAATTGCTTTATCGCAGGCAGCTACTAGTTTCACATGTAAGAATGTTCACAGACAGATACGGACCGAGGCAAAGTAAAATGAAATGCACTTCACAAGCGGTTCAGTGAGGAGGCTATAGTAGGTGAAGGAGTGAGGAGTGAGGACCACAGTCCAATGAACGTCGGAATCAAGCAATCGACAATGGATGCTAATGGAGGAAAAGCAACAATAAAGGGGTCTTACAGTATTGTAATCATCACAAATGCTGGGTCAACGTAAACTCTAGTTTATATCCCAATAAAACTTGATTAATATCACACTACAGTCTCCAAAACATGACTGAACATTTGTATAAATACCGCAACAGAGACATCAATAATATAAGATATGCTCGAGTTTTCAGTGTCATTCCATGTGGTTCATTCCGATAGGCACGCTCCACATGTCGATCAACAAGTGAATGTGAATTATAGTGTCACATAGAATAGAACAAATAAAATACACATGTGCCGCATTCAAGTAGTATTTGAAGACCAAAGCCATTGAAACTTCTTAAATGGTACATCCAGAACAAATGGGCTCTAAGAACCACAATAAAATATCATGATTGTTTATCCTTATAACAAATTCTATCCCGTTAGTGACTTTCAGCAATATTGCAGAGCCTTGCGTCCAAATACTAAACCACGATGAAAAATGCTTGCATCCAAAGAAAGGCTGATAGTTGATAAAGGAATTGAAGGTCAGCACAAGAATGGGTCGTGGAACCAAGATCAAAGTCCACATGAAGCTCAGGGATATCATGGACATATAAAAGCATACTTCAAAGTTCTCAAGATTTGACGTTTTGAAGCTTTGCAGTGTATAGCTTTGTGAGCATTCTGTCATGATTGAGCATGGCGCTAACACTCTCAACCACCAGAATGATCTGCCATATGAGAAGTAAGAAGCATACATAAGTTTACACGATGATAACATTATGAATCATTTAGTTTTGGTACAACTTGTCAACTTTAAACCAATTGAATCAAAATTTAAAGATAAATGCATTTTCAATGGCTATGAAGTACTCCACTAGTGTGAGATGAATTGTGGTGCTTAATGTCGTAGTTGTGTCAAACACGGAGCTTGTTAATGAAACAAAAAGGTTCTTGAGGTGCTGGTGGGTGTAGCTAAGTTGGTTTTGACCTGCTGACATCAAGGAAAGTGAAAAGGGTTGTCAATACTTTACAACCCTCTTACCTTCCTATCCCACGTTCCCTCCCCCCCTCTTTTGCTCTTGTTTGTGTCCCAGACAGTGGCTGGGTATTTGCTAAATAGTATCTTAAAATGAATATAAAAATAAGATGCTATTCTGGTCATGGCAAAATGTGTGTGGTGGAATTGACAAGGACCTCCGCTTATATAATTTATTGGCTAGAAAGATTTGCGAAGAAAAAAAGATACAGCAACAATAAATAAAGAGGAGAGAAGCGAATATCAATGAATAGAGATAATGCACCTGGAAGCACGCATAAGCAATTGCAGTCGCAAAGTAAAAATTTGCATTCCCGGTACCCTGCCCATTTTATTACACAGGTGAGGAATTGAGGAAAACAACATAATAATCTATTTGAAAGTTAGATCAACACAACTCCATACCCTCCATATCCATAAATTGTGCATCACGGGGCTAAGAAGAGAAACCCCAACATAACCAGAAAACAGGAAGAATGAAAACTGCATATCTGAAAAATCACGGAAGTTGATTATTTAAAGAAGAGAATACGATCAATATAAAAGTTCAATAAGAAAGAGAATTAACCTTTAAGTTCATAAGCAAATAAACCAAGTAAACCCAAATACAGAGCTGAATCACCAACCTAGTTAAAATGGAAACAAAATGGTTACATGGATAAATCAGGTTACAACATGATGCAATTTCACACAACATAAATACATCATTGATGGACATCTTTTTAAGTCTAATTACTCACAAGATAGATAGATAAATAGATAGATAAAATGGTACAACGATCAATCAGATTGCAACATGATGCAAATTCACACAAAATAAACATATAAATGATGAACTTTTTTTATGTAGATAGATACATAGATGGATCAATCAGATACAGTCATGATGCAAATTCACATAAAATAAACACATCTTGATGGATAGGATTTTATATTTACCAAACTTGCAGCTTCATATTTTACAACTAAATTGTTAGGCTTTTCCCTTCTAAGTGAGTATATGTGAATGTGCTAAGTGTGTAACATAATTATTTTCATAATTACTATTTTGGACAATGAAATCATACAATATCATACGTTGAACATTTAACAGGAAAATGGCAGCTCTTTTATTCTAAATTATAAAAATATTTTCAGCAACACTCAGTGGCATCATCATGCTTAAATTCAAAGAACTAATTTGAGTCTAGGTAAAATAAAAATAATAAACTAATGAAAAAATAAACAACACTTACAGAAGGATAAGACTTCAACATAGAAGATATCAAAATATATACAAAAGCTAGAAAGCATGGCCGGTGATTAAGCCGCAAGGCTAATGGAGCTATCATCAATAGAATATTCCCATGAAATACTATCAGGAAGAAATTTCTGAAAAAATCAAAAACTTCTGCAAAGAAGTACCTGTAAACAAATATCATCAAATATCATCATAAGGAAATAAGTGCCAAAGTTCATCGGAGAAATAAAACATTCAAGTCTACACAAAAAGTCACAGTTTCCCTTCGTATAGAACATACCACAAAACACCGATGTTTGGAGACAGATCTTGTATGGTAAGAATGAAGCCATAGGTTCTGCACAAACAATCTCGAAGTTTAGTTACAAGATGTTGAAAAACTAGCCATTCTCATGGAGCAATAAATAGTGACAGTTGACATTTAACAGCTGTTGATAATGATATTAAAAAAAAAGAGAATAAAAGAAAAACAACATTATAAATTTCATAATCACAATCAATGTTCTTCAACAGAGCATAATAATACAGTAAAATCTACCTCCTACCACACATGGCAAACGCATTAATTGTCTCAATAGTTACTTTTCAAAAATCGATGTGGAAAAACATGCATAATACTGTTCGGATAATAGAAGAAAAAAAGGTGCATAGTATACACTAAATGCCATGAAAGTGACTAAACTGGGAAATGAATGATTTGAATTCGCAAACTGCATATTGGTTTTTACTTCAGAGTTTCACACTAACGGTATCTAACTTCCAGCATGATATGAACAAATAACAGTAATATGGATCTAAAATTTTCCAAATGTCAAGAGTCCACAAGGTAGCAGATGTTTTTATAAAACTTCAAGATGACTCCATAGTCCATTTAATGAACAATAGTAACAATAATCCAGTACTCCTGTATTTGCTTAGGAGTAACCATAATGCTGTATAGCTGTTTTCACATGATATTCCATAGATTCTTTATTAACTCTTGAAAAACTCTCATAACTCCCCCGACTTTACTCTTTACTTGACTAGATAATGACTATGCACAAAATTCTTGTAGCTACAACAATAACAGCCTTTAGAATGACCATTAACTCATAAAGAAGGCTCTGGACACAATATATAAACAAATATGCAGATATATTTCAGCAATTGCAAAATTGTTGTAAGAAATGAATAATGGTAAGTAATAGTATCCAAACATAACCTTTTGAACAACTCCTGCAGACCACCATACTGTTGGACATAAATGCCACAAAGGACTAAGACATAGGATGACCACAGCAAAGTCCAGAACAGAAAAAGCACAACTAGTCTCCACGAGAATACATGAGCCATCTTTAGCTGATTCTTTGCTTCCTCTTCTGAACAACTATCACTTGAGGTGGAATTGCCAACGTCAAGATTTTTCCTTTGCCAGAATAATTTCCTAGGAGGAGCATCAGGACCATATCCCAATAACAATATCACCTGGAAAAGAGGGTAATATATGTATCTACAGATGGATAAAATGTAAATTAAAGAAGAGTACAAAGATTCACATATTGTGTTGAAAATGCTATATAATGGGTTCAAGAAACACCGTACTGGGATAATAAGGATTGCAGGGTACAGAGACAAGTGTGTAGCCATGACCCACCCAAAAGCTGCCAGTGGAGTTAGTCCTGTTGTACATCAGTAAAGTTTCAACGTTAGATATAATATTAGATGAAGATCGTAAGCCCACAAATATAAGATGATATTGATATATTTAGTTGATCTTGCTTTAATCATTTATGAATTATGATACCCCATTATACAATTTATGAGTTCTCACCAGCATTTCCAAAATCTAAACAGCTTGCTGAAAATAGCAATTAGCAACCTTTCCACTTGAGGATATCAAATGATCAGATATAAGGCTCAAGTATATCACATAAACCAGAGGAATTCTTCTGAAGCATAGTCTGATACTGATAGTCGGATAACTTAATGGCCAAAGGGATACAAAAAAACAATGATACAAAAATAACAATGTTCCTTAAATTTTCCTAGAGTCTTCAGTCTTGGTATGTTTCTCATTTACACAGGTTCGGCCCCCTTTATTAGTTAGTCATGTTTTATTGGTTTGTATCACTCAACTGAGAAAAAAAAAACATATCTATTTCTATTCAACACAACCTAAGGCTAAGAAACATTTCCAGGTAAACAGAAAATAGTAGAAAGTAGAAACAAAAACCATTGGAAAAATTGTTTATCAATGTCAATTTGTATAAAAGCAATCCTTCAGCTAAAAAGTGAGATTCATACTGTCATTTCTCATCAGAACTTCCCCAAGAAGAAAAAACAAACTGTTCTTTTCAGCACACAAAACCACCTAGCAATTTTCATTCTTTTCAATTCTAGGGAGCAAATAAATCTTAACCAGTAAATAACCAACAAATACCAATGAAACATAATAGGAATGAGTAAGTGGAATCAATGAAATATCTAAAATTTCAGAAATTAAAAACCATAGGTTATTAGCTGCTTACGTGAACATGCTCCATAAAGTGATAACACAACCATCAAGTTCTCAATTGCAGATGTGGATAGACCAACACATGCAACTATTGTGAAAGGATTCCATAAGTATACTAGAGCAGCAAAGTCTCCTGAAGGAAGAAGCTCTGGAAAAAATGAAGATACTATCAAAAGGGATGAAAAAGAAATTGCAGAGTTCCGAAAATCTATCTCTTTGATGGTACAGGATATCTTTATCAGCAAAAAAGTCTTCAAACTTATGGGTTAATTTTACTTATCACTTTAAAGCAACAAATAAAAATGGGAAAAGCACACCCAGCCATAAACATCCAAAATTTGAACAGAATGATCACACTAGTAGCACATGCTAACAACCTGAATTCTCCGACAAATTATGAAGACCAAGGAATTGTAATCTTGAACTGTATGCCACCTGGAGTTTTTCACCAGCAGCACGAATAAGCATTGCACATATAACATCTGCAATCACAAAAACCAAACTATATCCAGAAATGAGTTGATTACTTACTGTTTAACTACATATGCAATATACATCAAGAGGAAAACAAGGGTGAAGAAGAAAATATCAAGATACAATGGCAATCACCAATTAAAAGTGGATAGTTACTATTACTAGTCATAAGTAGAAGGCGAAGAAAGTTACCTGCATAAAAGATGATCAGGTTGTCCTTCAACTCTGTAGCATCAACAAGGTATTCATTAAGAATTTCAAACTCAGTTAAATTAAAACATTATAGAATAGCAGGTACCTTGTAACCGTGAGCGGGCCGAGAAGTGTCAATAGCAAGGGAGAACCATGGTACATTGATCCTGGAAACACGAACAAGGGCAAAAAATGATTGAAGGAAGGAATGAGATTGAAAAGGAAAAGTGAAGTGACGAACCGGCATAGGGTGAGACCGATGACTGCTTCAACCAGTAACCCTCGGCAACTGCGAAAAAGGAAGATGAAGTTAAGCATGCGTAGAGGAATTAAAGATGCGTAGGGTTGGGTTGGGTTGGGAGGAGGAGCATACGGCGACGGAGGCTGGTGAGGGGGGTGGAGACTTCGGGGCGAGAAGAGAGGTTGAGGTTTTTGGGAAAGTAGAGGAGGATCAGCCTCAAGATGACGGAACCGATGACCCAGCTCCAGAACCATTGCACCTTCTTCTTCTTCATCGTCTTCCTCTTCAGATCGGAACTTCCTAACTCTTTCTGCCTCTGGTTTTTTCGGAACACAAGGGCAGCCCAAAACGACTTCTATTACGGTCGTTCTCTTTTTTTTTTTTTTTTTTTTTTTTTTTTTTTTTATATATTTTTTTCAAGAGAACATAAATTATAAATATGAAAGGTAAATTACAAAGCGTGCGTTTCTAGATGTCGCATTCTAGAATCACGTTTTAAAATATTTCTAATGGTAATTTTTATACGTAATTTATTAAAATTTTTATTTTATTTTAAATATATCACATCATTTTTAAATAATTTACATTATATTTTTACTAATTTTATTATGATAATAAATTTTTATACGTAACTCATACTTTATTATTTTTTATTTATATTTCACCTTTTGATAACTTAAAAAATTAATATAATATTATAAAATAAAGATTTAATATAATTATTATAATTAAATATTAATTTAATTAAACATAATATATAAATAAATTAGCTTGCAAAAATATTAAATATCATAAATAATGTTATTTGTTTAAGAATTTTTATCTTAGAGTCT